AATTTAAAGTCTTTCAGTTAGTTACATAAAAACTCTGCCTTGTTGTATAGAAATTAAGGAACATGTGTCAAATGAAGGATTCATATCTTGGGGTCGCTGCTTGGATTCATCTTTCATTTATTCTTTTCATGATAAAATTTTATATACAGTGAACTTCAGTGAACAAGGCTCCTCAACAACTCTCCTCGCCATGAGAGTTACTGTTGAACTGTACACTCATTAACAAAGAGCTACAATCCACAAGTAAAACAAAACAAAACAAAACAACACTGTAAAAATACAAGTACAAGTTAGAATGTGTAACATCTCACTACTAGATGCAGTAGGTTTCTTTCATTCATGAATAGGTTTTATTCATGCTTTTATTTCTTCGCGTTTGAATTACTGTGATGGTCTTTTTACTTACTTCAACTTATCAGCTTTGGATCGCGTTCTTTACCTGGCACTAACAAGAGGTCACATACTACTCCAGTTAATACTCCAGGCTTCTTTTCAGTGGTTGCCAGTCCAGTTTAGGTTTTATTTAAAAAAACAAAACAAAAAACTTTCGTGCTCTACACAGTGAAGCTCCCCAATATATCTCTGACCTGTTAAAACCTCATGCTTTAGACCTCAGATTTTCAGGTTAGAGGTTACTGTTGGTCCCACGTACTGGGTTTGTGTGGGGATTAGGCTTTTCAGGCAGTGGCACGAGGGTTGTGTAATTCTCTTCTCTTGTCTTTATCCTGTACAAACTCCACTGACTCTTTTAAAAATCAGCTGAAGACATTTCTATGCAAACAAGCTTTTAATTTATTTTTTCATTGTTTCATATTATTATTTATATATATATTTCTGGTTTTATTGTGAAGTGCTTATAATTTGTATCTGTGAAAAGTGCTATATAAATAAATTCTATTTACTTACTTCCTATAAAGGGGGATGTGTTATTTTGAAAGAAGCTATATGGATTTAATTGTGGTGTAACAGAAACAAAGCTAAAGATCACTAGGAGAGAAATAAAGAGAAACTGGGAGAGTAAACGATGAGTTTAGTTTCAGCTGAAAAATGGCAACAAGCTCTTATGTTGGTTTGTGATTGTAATGAGTGAAGCTGCTGAAATAAACAACAGAGGCTATGAGTTCAGGCTTAAGCTTTCTCTGGGTGGAAGCTACAGCCAGCATTAGTGAAACCTTCTTTGAAGTGGATATAATATTGCTGGACACCTATGGAAAAAAAGTAACATTTCTGTTATTTTTTGGTGCTTGTTTTTTTGTTTTGTTTTGTTACTTTGTACAGCACTTTGGTCAACTTGTGTTGTTTTTTAAATGTGCTTATAAATACATTGATTGATTGATTGATCGATTGATTGATGGAGAATGTAGCCAAATTCTGATCAAGCTGTAATCTTCTGAAAATAAGTAATTGTGACGATATCCAGAATAAATAAGCAGGTTTATGTTTTCATCTGTTAAAGCCCAGACAGTAGAGGAGGCTTTAGGCAAGGAGGAAGAGGATGATGCTGGTCATGTCTCTTTGACTTCTCACTCCTTTGGTAATGTGACATTATGAAATATCAGATGAAATATTGTGTATTTTCTTAGGCATATTGGAACATTTAGCTATGGAATACTACACACGTACAGTTTATGAGCTAGAAGAGGACTCTGTTGAGAAGTTTATGTTAACTATGAAGTAATTAAAATAATAGCAATAAAATATATCATACGTACCTTCTACTACATATGTGCACTGAAGCACCACCATCGGGAGCAGCAGACTGCTCATGGAGTGGCAATAACTTCCATCCACTAATCTTGTTAGAGTTAAAAGGATATTCACATAAACCAACTTTACGGAGAAACAAAACATTAGGCAAAGATTTTCTGTTGCAGCGAAGTGGCATTAGGAAGGTACCTTACTTAGTACCTACAACTAGCGGGTTTTGATACGGGCGACGGGCGGTTGCCCGGGGCGGCATCACGGGCATCGGCAAAAAAACAAAAATACTAATTGCTCGTACTCATTCTGCCCCTACGTCAGGCCAGCGCATAGTGGGAATGGCATAGGCACCGATCGGTTTTCTATCGCCCATTTGCTGGGAGTAAGGGCGCCCTCCGTTTGCGAGGTGCGCCTGCTGCTTGAGACACAGGGAGGAGAGGACGGGGCGGCGGGGGATCCTCTGGCTGGCTGGAGCAGCGTCTAATAACCAACTCGCAAAATAAAAGAAAGTAAAAACAAACCAACAAACACGAAATTCTATGCGCGAAAAGTGAGCACGACAGCCCTCGGTGCGCCTGCTCGCTGCTGAAGTCAAAGTAAACTTTATTGTCATCTCCGCAACATACAGTACAGTATATAGAGAGACGAGACGACGAGGCTCCGGTTACAGCAGCGCAAGTAAACAAACAATAAATATAAGAAGAGTAACAAAATAAATATATACTTTAGGACTAGGGGTAAAGGGATCAATAACAATTTAAAATTTATAATTTACAGTTTGATGATTTAAAGATGATTTTTCGTTTTTATGGGCCGATGACCTTTTGTTTGTTTGTTTTGTAACAGTATAAGCAATTAAAGGCGGTGGATTGGCTAATTGGTCATGATCGACTCTGGGCTGGACCAATTACAGCCGATGAGGTTGAACTTCAAAGTTCCGTATTGAGGTGAGAAGGAACGCGATTTGTCCCGTACTTCAGCTAGAATGAAAAAAAAGACACAAAGCTGGAGTTATTCTGTGTCTTTACGCTGTCAGCTGTCTCTTCTTCTGTCATCGTCTCTCCCTCCCTCTCGTGTTGCTACTTCAATCATGAAACTTATCAATGATCAGCTGATCGGCTTTTCTGTCGCAAGTCCCGTTTCTCTTGTTTGTTTATCGCATTGATATTGATATTTCCGGTAAGTAAAGGATAGTGTAGGTTTAAGTTTATTAGATTGATACCTATTTACCAACAAGATAGTGTACATCACTGTCATAACAGCATTTGTTTTTATTCAAAGGGTTTATGGTTTTTCCTATAATTCCTGGTGGGTCGGACTCTAGTCAAAATGCCTGGGTTGATTTTTTGTCCCAGTCCAGCCCTGGCAGGGCTCATGTTACAATGAAATAGACTGCAGAGTCCTGGCCTGACGAGGACCCTAAGGCTGTCACTTGGTGTTCGCTCGCTGTGGTATAGTATCACTTCCTGTTCCTGCTCAAACACAGTGGTGTCTCTGAGTAGCTTATTTGCTTAGCAGTTTAATTAACAACTTTTAATACATTCTTTTTTCATAGTATAATCTTCACGTGCTTCATCCGAAGCACACTTTCTGTGTACTCACTACCTAATTTATAGCCAAAGTATCCACTCACTGTCTCTGTACTGTTTCGCTAGCTTAGCGAAAATACCAACCCGTTCATTTGTCTAACCGTTTTTCCCCACTCGGTGACACACCCGCTGGGGGTCAAACTCTGGTAATTGGTGATTC